TGGGGTGAAGAATGAAGCTCACCAATCAAAGTAAGGTAATTGAGCCTTCAAACTAAAGAAAAATCTTTATGACTGCAGTTTTCACTTCAAAATGCATGCTTACAAAACGCAGAAAATACGTATTTTCACACAGAACACTATAACACCTGGAGATAAATTTCATCCTTTATCGTTGTAGCTAAATATTTTGATAACTCATATGTTGTGGGGGTGTGTTTGTTTAATAGGCTAACTTGTTTTATGTTGTCAGTGAAACATACAGTGGTAGACGCAAGTAAGATAAGTAATCTAGAAAGGAACTCAGCTATTGCTCTGCAGGCACTGACGCATAATCAGACTATACGGTGAGGGGAATAAGGTGACAATTCTAAAATCCAATGTATGTAGCTAGGTGGAGGAAGAAATTGATCACAGAATCTTTGTTCATTGAATCCACACATGTCACAAGAATGACTTATCACACGTATTGCAGATATATAGAAAATTTTACTGCTATATAAAATAAATGGCTTTCGTGTTCCAGGGGCTTAGTGGATAACCGTTTTTGGTGTTTGAAGCTATGGGTACGAGGTTCGAGTCTTAGTGGAGACAACATCGTTCACTCGGAGGCAGGCAGTCCCAAATAGTAGGAAACGCGCGTCTCGGATCCCTTTGGGAGCCAAAGTAAACTATCACAATATATACTCAGGCAATGTTGAGGCCTCCGTATAGGAGCTCATATGTTAATAGAGTTTGAAAAATTCTATGAAGTAAAACAACGGAGAATCGCAAGTATATCAAGAAATAGTGAAAAAATGAATGAACATTTCGACTATGTAAAAGAAGTTTGAAAGTTGCATGGTTGCTTTGATGTGTGAATATGAGGAATAAACTCTGCTTTAGACGTCATCCAGTAAATAATTGTTCAACGCATAGGACCATGCAACAAAATGTGAGGAGCGTGAAGAGCATACGCTGATTGACCAGTGAAAACCCCCTAGAAGACTTGGATTTCGCCCATGATGATTTACGTCTAATGTCGCACAAAATCGAAGATCTGTAGGCAAAAACTAACAAGTTGGCAGAAGAGGAAGTGCAGCGAAGACGATACTTCAGGCGAACGTAGAGAAGACGGAGGTGATGAAGATACCCAACCACCACCAACGACAACAACAATAACAACAAGCACTGATCAGCATCAGTGGGAGAAATCTAATGGAACTTGTACCTTTCACCTACCTACCTACCTACTTAGGCATTATCGTCTCAACTACAAGCGGTGGCAGCGGTACAGATGACGACTTCAAAGCCAGGATCGGAAAGACAGCAAGACGGGCCTTGTTGCACTAGTCTGAAATCAGTGTGGAGATCTACTGCACTGCACTGCACTGCATCCAGCATAAAGCGTAAACAAGATACTGATTTTCAACACTAATGTCAGTCAAGTAAGTCAGTGCTTCTATGTGATGGTTGACAGATTTGACGCTTTAAAACATTAAAGCATTTCCAACAAACTGTAGACCTACACCGATAGCTGCCGCCTACGCTCACTCGATACTGAAGATCGGATGGTGAGAATAATAAGAATAAGCAACAAGAAACTGTGGCTGGCAATGAACCAAACACCTATCGCCCAACAAATATGCAGGAGAAGAAAATGGAGATGGATTAGATTGGGCATACACTGAGAAGACCGTTCGGGGATAACACGCGCCAGGCCAGTTTCTCTAGTGGAAGCCAAATGAGAAACGACGATTTGGGCGTCCGAGGGGAGGATGACATGGAGTAGATGGTGTGAGGAAGAAATGAAAGCTTCTCGAAAGTCGTGGCGCCAGGTTAAAAAGACTGCAGAAAGGAGATTGAAATGGGGGTATGCTACTGAAGCCCTCTTTTCCACCAAGAACCCAAGGGACAAATAATAATAATAATAATGCTATACGAAATGAACAGTCTAATATGGGATGTTTGTACAGTGTAAAAATAGACTAAACAGAAAAAATTAAAAGAATTTACACTTTTTTTAAATGATCAAATTAATGAATACCCTCGGGGATGAATACCATCAATGTTTAACGCCATTTCTGTATTGATAATAGTTTTCCAGGTAGTATATCTTTGATAAAAATGAAAACATGGACAATAATGAAATCGGAAGTATAAGCTCAAATAACACGGTTGTACTTATGAACGAATTAGTCTGTCCTAATAATGAGTCGCTTAATGTTTCAGGAACCGACAGTGAGGCAATGAACAATGAAATACTTTTATGCAGCTTTTCCCAGCACTAATTAGTAGAGAGAATGTTCACTGAATCGAATAACTAATTGAATAACTCTATGTCAGTAGTTTTTTTTCAAACAAAGTTACAGCTTTTGCGTTTACATATTTTTCCATTTTCCATAGGAATGAAACAAACAAATAATGCATTTTAAAAAGATAACATCTAATAGGACGAAGCTAATGGATATGCGCTACAGGATGATGGGTTAGAAACTCAATGAAAATCTCTAGAGAGTATCTTGACTAAGTAATGCAATTCAAACCTGTAAGGAAGAATATAATCACCGACTATACATCCATTTTGCATCACTCTGTCGCAAGTTCCCCAAAGAGTGATGATATCTATGGCACAGGGAAAAGTAATAGGAAATTTCGACTACTAACTTGAAGAACAAGTAGCTGATCATGAAGCCTGGTTGTCTAGAGACAGTTAACAAAATGTAGGTAAATCTTTTGGTGTTAGATGAAGGGAGGGGGGGAGTTCCATCTACAAGAAACCATGAACTTAGGCTTTATGCTTGTTTGCACTTCTCAGCAATGAGTAGCTTCAACCAAGAAGAAGCTGGTGTCCCTCGATAATTCTAACATGAATCACTGAGTGCTGAAGTCAGGGACTTATTCAGTAAGTTATTCAGAGCAAAACCCAATCCTCATAGGACTGAATTATGTACACAATTTGGGCACCAGTGGATAACTGATGTAGTTGTCTAGTCACTAGGGCTTAACACTAGTTGAAGTCTATCAGTCAAGTTATGACTGACTGACCGACTGACAATATGAACATGGAACCTGATTGTATTGTTTTCTCTCAGCTGGGTTGTTTAATCGTGGAACTCTCATCGTCTTTCTAGACGACATCAGCACTAACTCCAGTGTGAAGTGAGCTGTCAATATCCCTCCATGAGTGATTTAGTAGCTTGCCGTGACGAACTGGCTTGTAACTCGTTGTTTCCTTTAATTGCTGTGTCATTGACTGTATAGATTTTCCTGTTGGCTATTCTTCTGCTTGAAAGGTCAGAGGTCAAGGTGATGAACAGCCAACAGGAAAATCTACATAGCAATTAAAGGAAACAACAAGTTACAAGCCAGTTCGTCACGGCAAGCTACTAAATCACTCACGGAGGGATATTGACAGCTCACTTCATAGTGAAGTTAGTGCTGATGTCGTTCGGAAAGACGATGAAAGCATCACGATTAAACATTCCAGCTGAGAGAAAACAATAAAATCAAGACCACCCACCTGAGCTACAAATATTCTCCACCATTTCAATATGGAACCTCACACACAAGTGCATCAGCTGAAGTTGACACACTTCACTATAGTACACAAACAACACGTCGATAGATAAAGGAGTGATATCAAAGTAGATAAAGTAGTGTGAGACAATCAAGAATCTGTGGATGAAGGTTAATATGAATATTCAAGCTTCATAAGATGTCAAGTAGTGAATAAATCTGCTCCATTGTGACTGATTTTGAGTCATGTCACGAAGAATCGTGAACCACTGATTCCTTGTGAGTTGGAGACCTGAATCAGGTTGTTTTGCGTTTCCCCGTTTGACTGAGACCAACAGTGTGAGACTTGATCGAGTGATGCTAGGTGTTGATCTGGTCACCGTGAACGCTTCTTCAACCTTAGCCAACTTTCTTTGTATGGTGTGTTGAGGTAGTTGGTGGTTTGGCATGCACAGTTCATGTCCAGGGTACCTCAGTTGACTAAAGTTGAAAGCCTCATGAATTGACTTGCCAGCATGTCTTGGTGAGTACCCTCCATCTTACCTCAACATTTGTCACGTAGTGATTTGACGAGAGATGGAAAATGCTACGAGGGAATCTGTGGTGAGGAGTTTGTAACCACTTCATGTCTTTTACTTTTAACGGCTGTGTGTGACAGGTGTGGGAGAGGATAGAACAGACTGTAGCACATTATACTTGTGGTTTGTTATGTAGTTGGAGATCTCATGAGTTGGCACGATAGATGATGAAACTTGGGAAATGCTAAATGGGTCTTCTCTATCCAACCGGAGATTACTTCAGTAGCTATTCCTTTTGGCCTGATACAACTGCTTAAGTAAGTGAATGGTCGACATATTCCACTTTTTCACTCTCTATCATTAAGCTATTAGCAGTGGCAGATCAATCCTGGAGCATCATTCTATATTTGGTCGATGCGAAACGCATGCCAAACATACTCAGATTTCTGCTCATCGTGTCCAAAAGACTCTGAATTTTGTCAGTATCTTCACTTAGTAGGGTAATATCGTCAACCAAGCTATTCACTTTCAACCACCAAGTGAAGTCATGCAATAATTCAGTGCATTGTATTTTGGTTTTGCGTGGTGAGGTTCATTAGGCGGGAATTCTAAGACCTGGGTTTTGTTACTTGTAAGAACTCGTCGGCAAAACTATTTCTTAACCATAACAAAATTAATGTTTCTAAAAAGTGAAAAAGAAACACAATTATTTTAATGGGATAATTCGACTAGAGTATTAAAGTTTTAAATTTTATTTTGTCTTGTGAAAATACTTTGATCTAATCAGCAAGACAAAACAAGCAGTTAATTGAGCTAAGCGAAAACAATGAAAACTTGAGATTTTGAAATATGATAATTATGCAACCAATTATCTTTCTTGAGCATACATAGTAAAACAAATGAGAAGTTTGTACATTTCATTCTAATATACCTTTGTATTCACTTTTTAAACAATAGCCTTTTCATAATTTTAATTTTAAATACCAGGTTTAGGTTATCATAGAGAACCACAAAGTCGTGCTGCATTTATGGAAGTATTGACTAAGATTTTGCAACAAGGTACTGAATTTGAAACTCTAGCAGAAACTGCATTAGCTGAAAGATATGAACGTTTAGTGAATTTAGTAACTATGGTCGGTGAAAATGGTGAACTACCGATAGCTATGGCTCTTACTCAAGTTGTCTCTTGCAATAATATGGTATGTTGCTTTTTTTTTCTAGTATAAATCGTTTAACAGTGTTTCACATTACTGTTTACTTTATTCTCAATTTTCAGTTTCACGTTAATTTTTTTCATGGATAATATTTTTTCTGTTCATTTATGACAATTTGTAATCTCTAAATAACGGTTTTATCCTTTACATCACTATTCATAAGATGACATTAAGAGGAAAGGTAAAACACAACTCGTCTGGGGTACCTAGCCTATCAGATACTTTGATAGTGTTCACATGGCTATATGTTGCCAGATTTCCTAGGGTGATGGGACATTACATGATCTTATGGTCGAGTGCAAGGTTTCAGGAGAGTTGTATGCTATATGCATGCACTCCACCCCGTTTATGTATTTACCATTTTCAACTGTTCAAGCGATCCGGTTTGGTTTCCCATTCACTGGTTTGCTGCCCAGGCATGCACCCGGCTTCATGCTGGATTGCATGTAGGCTGGCTTGAGGTGATAAATCCAGGCTGTAGTGTTGGCTCAGTAGTTCGTGCCTCGAGAAATGGTTGTGGCCAATTGGTGAAATGTATATAATCTATTTATAGTGAGATGTAATTACCTTTATAGGTAATTTAAGTCGATAGGCCGAAATTGTTGTGTGCTGGGTTACGCTACTACCCCAGTGCCTAGACCAAACAAAATTAACTTATCGTGATACGTAACCCTGATATTGTGTATTCATATAGAATGATTTTAAAATAAAGACACTGGATCTTAGTGAAAGTTTTTTAACGTGCTAAATTTTAAAATTCAACTGTAGTTTATATCGATGTTGGCCATTCGATTGATTAGTTAAAAGCTTTTGGAGTGAATGACTAACTGAAAACATTACACCTCCATATATTAAACAATTAAGGTTCAATGTTAACACATTTGACAGGAGGTTTACGTCGGAAAATATCACCAGTCTCCAAATGTTCGACCCGGGGACATCAAAAAAATTAAATATCTTCAATCACACCACTTTGGAAAACTTCAACGAGTGACTTTAAAGCCTACCTTAGCAACTGGGAAGAAACGAAGTTGGTTATTTTCGCAGTTTTCAGGGTGGCCCCTACAATAACTGAGTGGCTTCGAGATTTGAAATTTCGATATCTAAACTCCCTCTCTGAATGGTCAATCCTTAAGGCAGTCTACATTATATATATATATATATATATATATATATATATATATATATATATATATATATGTTTTTACCACGTTCATCATCAGTTCGGAGCAAGAATAAACACGTTCAGTTTCCTCCTGCATTGTTTTACTACTTGCTTAGCTGGGTAGCAACATCGTATATGTCAAGTTCTGAACTTTTTCCTAATGTTTCGCTCAGGCTGTATCGTACTGTGTTGTAATATCTTAATGTACACCTAAATTATATCAGTTTACTAGCAGTTTATAAATCTTGACTATATCTGCAACAATTATAATTCGTATGTGATGATTTAACTCATCACTTCTCAATATCTTTGAGAAGTTCACTTGCTCCTATGCAGCAACGTACCTTGTCCTTATACAGCGCAATATTCGTAAACGTATTTTGGAACATTATCCATCTTGGCCATCGAGAAGAGAGCAAAGAAAATATCAACAGTTAGATAATTGAACACCTTGTCATCTAAGGACATCTGACGCCTACTAGCAATACCTTCAAAGTAATCTACAGAGTGCCTCCCTACAATTCGAAAGGCCTTCGACTGCGTCATCCATACATATCCAGTTCATTGGTAATTCACAACTTTAAACCTGGTCTCTGTATCTCAAAGCACTACGTATATTCATTAACCTTACCGCGGTCAAGGTAGTGATTTTCTTTTGTCTTTAGAAACTGTATGTCCTACTCTTGAATATGATAGTACTCACACATTTGCACTTTTGTGCATGTTTCTACTTTGTTTTTGTCTCTGTCTGTCTGTCTGTCTCTTAAATAACAATAGACTATTACTTGATATTAATGATGGATAGTGGTTGGCAGTAGAATCCAAGAAGGGTATTTCGTCCTACTTGGGACTCGTCGGCAGTTCGGTCCAATCAACTACAGGATAATACAAGCAATGCCGTATAAACTATACTCGTTTCTTAAGAAGTGGATACCGCAGTTTTGTGGCCTAGTGGATAACGATTTGGTGTTTGAAGCGATCAGTCTAGGCTCCGAGTCTTAGTGAGAACCAAATCGCCCACTGAGAGGCAGCTACGTGCGGTTGGCGAGTGTCAAATAAGGCGAAATGTGCATCCTGGGTCCTACCGCTAACCAATGCTCATCAATAATATCGAAACTGAAGGCAATATTGACACGTCCTGACAAGACCCCACATACCAATAGATATCGACCAATTCGGTCCGATCAACGGCGCGATAACACAAGCAACATCATATAGACTTATTTGTTTTCAGTGATTTTTAACACGATTATACAGCCTTTGTAAATTAAGTCATCGATAAGGGAATTTTTTCAGTGATATTCTTGTTTTATGACTTAAAATGGGAATTTTCCGTTCGTTATCGAGGTACATATAGAGAGAGATAAGTAGTTAATAAACTATGATCAACTAATGACTTTGAACTCTACAATGCTAACACACAGTTACTGGTTATCAAAAAGTGAACTATCATTTCCAAACCATTCTTGGATTAGAATTGTATTCAAGCGTTAAAGCTCACTGAGATGAAATACATCATCTTATGTAGATAGTTCAGCAAAATAATGTCGTCTATCAAATTCTGTTCAACAAATGAATTTTACAAACAAACCGTCAACATTTGAAAGAGCCTTGTAGTATACTGTAGATTAGATGGATACTTTTTCGTAGTAGAAATTAATTACTACTCAATTTTTGTAGGACGGAACTGTGTCTTCTGTTTACACGTCCCTATTTAGGTGTGCAAGACAAAGTTCATGTGCAAAACAGACATTCTGTCCATTTTAATCGGTCTACGTACTGAGAAAAAGAGAACCCACATTTACATATTATACATATCGTTATTTCTTTTCTAACTTTGTTCTTGAATTTCCCCATGTAATAATAATTCTGCATCTTTGTTATATCTTCAGTTTCATACTACTTAGTATTATTAAATAGTATAATTCATATTTTCCTTTAATGTTACTGTATCCCTAAGTTGACTGTTAATTCTATTTATTCATATTTTGTTCACCAGTTAACATCTCTGGATATTAGTTCTTTTCCTGGTTCATTTTGGCACTGGAATCTCTTTCTTCGCCCTCTAATGTTCTATGTTTTATAGAACATTTGTTTACCTCATGTCTTTACTTCATGTTGGAGACAAGCGTGTCCTTCATATTCTCTTTTGGTTGCTTAGACAGAGATTTACTGTTTTTACTATTGATGTACTCTCTGTAAGGTGCTTTGAAAGCGATAAACTCACATATACCTCACTATTCGAGGCTCTTAATTCATTATTTACGCATAACTCGAGTGTTTGGTTTATTGTTGGGGAATCGTTTTATATATATATATATATATATATATATATATATATATATATATATATATATATATATACTGTGGTTTATGGAGGATAATTGAGGATAATCGAGTTTTACAAATCTCTTCTCATTGTTACTGACATGTCAAGTGCACAGATTTCTGAGCTTTAAACGAAAGGAGATAATAAACTTGATTGATCTTTCTAGAGATACAAACTCATCTATGAAAGTTAACCAACCTTTTGTGTATTCTGCGTTAATTAATGTTTCAATTTCCTTTTAAGTGAAATATTTATTTGCTTTAGATAACAGAATGCTGAGAAGTAATATTTTCAAATAGGTAGACGTTCTTAATCAGTAAAACGTTTATTGACTATCAAGTTATTTAAATAAGGATATAATGATATATACTTATGCAGACAATAAGAAAACAAGGTGTATATTGAGATGAATAACAATGATAACATTGGCAATAGGAATAAGGTTAATTAGACCGAGTAAATCAAGGAAGGAAAACAAATGTGAGATGAGTGATAATTAATAGTGAAGAATAAAATAAGAAAGATTAAATATGATTAGACAATGTTGTAATTATTACCATGGCAGATTCGGGCTGACTACCATTTCCTTCTGAATGCAAAGGTTTGGTTTAACAACTCGAATTGTACAGGCTTCTACATATCCAAGCAACTTCTTATTTTGCTGTCTACTGTTAACTTTAAAGGACTGCTATTAATTATCTTGTTTTCAATGACGTGATCGACGCTCAATCGATTCAGTTCTCATCCCTATGTCAACAATCTTGAATATCCATTTCTATCCTCTGGATTACCATTTGACCTGTAAAAACTATTCATTTCTATTTTGAGATGAATGGGGATTTTTAATTAGAAGTAGTATTCATCATCTCAAAATACATTACTCTATGGTACTCTGCTCATTAGTGACTTGCTTCCAGATGGATGTTAGGAAGTTCTAATGAGAAGCCGTGACCTGTGGGGTCAACCAGTCGGGAGTGAAGTGGATGCTAACTGAAGACCTTGGGTGACAGTCGCGCTATGTCGTAAATTGACAGAAGTTGGAAATTGTGAACCAGTGGGAACCGACCGAGTGGCTGAATGGTTAACGCGTTCGCCGCGAAACCTGAAGGTCCTGATTTCGACCCGTAGCCGGGTCGTGGGTGCGAACTGCTGAGGAGTCTCATGCTAGGACGAAACAGCTGTCCAGTGCTCCCAGGTTTTTAATGGCTCCCCAACTGATGTCAGTCCATGATGAATACTACTTCTATATTCACTTCTATGTCGTTACACCTAAATCTGTATGTATGCTCCTTTCCATTGCTTAACGGTATATATAATCAAGTATGTAGAGTATCCAGCTGTTAAGTACTACCACCTAAACACCATCATTGATAGAATAATGCAGAAACCTTAACATAATGAAAAAGTTAAACACATTTTCTTTCATTTATGAATCGATATTTTCAGTTATTTTGTTTGTATTTCAAACTATATGAACACTAATGATTGGAGACATTAAATGTGTCCTTTTTTTACAGGATGAATTGGCTCGAGTACTTGTTACATTATTTGATGCTAAACAATTACTTGATCAATTATTCTTCAATGTGTTTTCTAAAGAGGTCAGTATTATAACCTGTTTATATCTGTGGAGATTTTTAATAATCCTATTACATTGATGTCTTTACTTATCAAATGGAGTTAATCATTGAACTAACTGGAAAACGTAAAATTTTCATCAATCTTCCCTCCATTTCGAAATGTACATCTATAATTTGATCAATATTCAGTGTACAGTTCTAAAACTGATGATGAAATTCACTGTTGTATAAAATTAGGGATAAGTGGTTCCCCATTGTGATGATGCTTTCTAAGTGACATATTTCTAACTGGGAAAAAACTGTATTGCGTCACGAGTAATCAAATGAAAATTTCTTCTTGACTAAATCAATTCAAAATTAAACTGATTTGTAGAATAAGAAAAAAAATTACAGTTATTAATGATGGATAGTGGCTAGCAGTGGAATCCAGGATGCGCAATTCGTCCTATTTGGGGCTCGTCAACATCACCCATCGGGAAGCAGGTACATCCAGCTGACGAGTCCTAAATAGGACGAAATGTACATCCTGGATTCCACTGATAGCCATTATCCATCATTACCAACATTAGAGCACCGGTAATATCGAGGCATTCGTACAGGATCCCATATGTCGATAGAGACCGATCAATTCAGTCCAATCAACGACGGTATGATATAAAAATAGTTATAGTAAAAATTACAGTTGTCAACATCTTATGAACGTTTCATAATCGAGAAGAGTCGGTATTTTTCAGTAAGAAGCTATAGATTGGTTACTGTGTAAAGTTTTAGTCATTATATATATATATATATATATATATATATATATATGTCTGACACTGGAACAATAAAATAGCATACCAACAATCATCAAGAGACTGTATGTGACATTCCTCGAGCAAATGTCACATGAACTCTGTGGTCACATAGGTCTCTTCTGCTTTCAGGTCTCCTGCAGGAGCAACTTTCACGTTATGAGAAACTGAAAAGTGCCAAGCACTTGCATACAAAATGCAGTCAAATATGACTTATCCTCCTCTGCCTTCGCCTCTTGATACCAATATCAAGTCTCTTACAGCATCCTCAACCTGTCACTGTGCTACCACTGCGACTATCCAAGGAAGTGAAACACCATTTCTAGTTTCTTAAGACGTCCGAATCCTACGCCAGATCAGACAGCAAGATTCACTCACCAAAACTCTGGAACCTCGAGCTATGAATATATGCTGTCTCTGAATGGGGTTATTCACTTTGCCGCACCCGCTTAGTGTGGCAAATCTTCAAAATTCATCTTACGAGAATACGAATACCCAGTGTCTAGCTCTCATGGACTCATTGATGTAGGTATAGCATTGATTTGTTGGACTAAAAGTCCAACTCTTGACTAGATACTAATCAACAGACGTTTCTGTTCTGTTCAAACAAATGAATCTGCAAGAATCAGGAGGGATTTTGCGGAGAATCGATGCCTATTTATAATCATAGACTAAATTTTGAATGATGCGAAGGATGAATCCCATCGAAAGCTGTCAACTTCGCTACATTCGGATACCGTATGCCTTAAAAAAAACTGTCTTGATTGCTCATCAACTTCACTTTTTATAGACTGGATTTCAGTAGTAACTTGATATATTGTTCTGAGTTTTATTGTGAAATGAAAATGGTGCTAAAATGTAATTGTATTGAATAATTAACCTTATTTATTGTTTTCATTCACTTCATATACGAACTTTAGCTGGAATCAGCTGATAGCATGCAGACATTGTTACGTGGGAATACAATGACAAGTAAAATTATGAATTATTGTTTTAAACAATTTGGACGAGATTACTTACAATCAGTATTAGGTCCTGTACTCATGGAATTAGTTAGACGAGACGCTGGCGATTCAACTGCTTACAAATCATCCACTCCATCATCGATGACAACAACAACAACATATCATAATACTACTAACCGTACTACAAATAACCTCAGTATTAATAATGATGTTTCAGATTGCAGTTATACACAACAATTAGGAAAAATGTCATTCACTGGTAATAATACTGAATTGTTGTTAGATGATATAACTAAATTTCCTCATACTACATTGAATTTATCTTATGAAGTAGATCCTAGACGCTTACAACCAAATGAAAATTTAGAAGATAATCAGAATAATTTAATTTTTGCAACTGAATTATTATATGATAAACTCATTAAATCTGTGGACAGGTAAGTGAATATTTAATGATAGTATTTCTAATTTTAGTCAACTATTTATGTGTAATACCTTGGTTATTTAATCAATTTTGTACTAATCACTAGATCACCAATTCATATACAACTTATAAGTGTACGCTTTATGGGTGAGAGTGGATAATCATCAGTTATTATTATCATCCCTGGTACTAATGCAAAAATTGAGTTTAACATTTTCTCAGGATGGTTAACTAAAAGTTTGAAATCTAAGTTCGGAAATTTTCATTAATAATGTATATTATTGGATTCATTCAAGTGCCTAGAACTGCATACAGGCATCTATAGACTTTGGTCATTACCTTTTGGATTTGAACACTGAATTGATCGACCATTGTCAGCATTTTGTGTTAGAATATGCTTGTCGTGGAACAGCATGAAAATATACCTGCACCTGAGTGAATGATGTTTTTCCAACTGAGACTCAAACGTAATATCTATCCAGTAGACTGCTGAGGTACGACAGCCATTACTTCTGCAACGTGTACCAGTTGTTATTTGTTGATACTTGTCTTGCTCCATTACTCTAGCATTTGAAACGATGATTTTGGATTCTGGTCTCAGTTAGAACACTATCACTCACAGGAATGCAGGTTCATCCAAGTGATAAATCTTTAAAAACAGACGAAACACATGTCCAAGTTTCCACTGCTATCCAACACTAGGTACTATCTGATATTCAAGGACAAGCTAATATAGTTATGAACAATAATGAAGTGAAAAAGTTGTTCAACTCGTAAGGTCGCTCTAACAGACTTATTTGTCAAGCCATGGTTGTATGTATTTCAGAATACATAACCCTTTAGGTTCTGCAACTCACAGAAAGTGAAGCTGTTCAACGGAGGATATCTAAATGGACATCTATAACCTCATCTATCAGAACTTAGGTCCAAGAGGCAACAAAAGGATATCCTGTAAGTTAACATGTCTCATTATGTAAGACAGTCTTGATATTATATAGCAGTTAATTTTCATCGTCATCTAGATGTATCTGCACCCAAGTAAGCTGTTTTCCCTACTAAAACCTGAACCCATCACACAAGAAGTGGGTAATTCTCTAGCTTTTAAAGCAATCGTTCTCATGTTCGACTCTTCCTGGAAACAACATCCCTCACGGCAAGGCAAGTACATTCAACTGACGAGTTCCACATAGATCGAAACGTGTGTTCTAGATTCCACTCCTAGCCACTCACTATCTATCAAAACTAAGAATACATTCAATATCGAGGCATCTGTGCGGGAGTCCATATATCAATAGAGACTAATCAATTCGGTCCACTCAGCGAGTGAACAATATGAGTAACAACATAGAGAGTAAGGAATGTTCTAAAGTAGGCAAGAAGACACTAGAACCGTAATGTAATTACTCAATTATGTGAAATCAACTGACTTCATAGGATGAACAATTTGCAAAATAATTTACAAATTACACGATCCACCTTGACATTCTGCACAGTTGAGTGATTTTTCAACTGCCCAAATGTGGTGTCAACAAAGTTTCCGTTAGTAAAATCACCCAACCAAGATCACAGGATGTAATCTCTGATCTGGCTGGCGAAACCTACAGATGAACCTGAATAGTTTCTAACTATGCATGACTTCCAGTAGTATATTTCGTTACAATTGAATTCATCTGTGTAATCGAAGTATGTCGATTACCTTTTCTTACATATACAATATTGTATTCGATTAGCGTATATGAACGTATTTATAGGTCGTTTATGTATTAAAATTCCTGAAAGAAACTTTACGATAAGGTGATAATAAGTACTGAAACTGAAATCCATTTCAATAAACCACTCAAGTATATACACCTCTTATGATAATTACTTGATATCAAAACTATTATAACATTGACTTAAAAAAAAAAAAAAACTTATCTTACTATTTATTCATTTAATTAGCTTCCCGTCTAGACTACGTTGTATGTGTAGATGCTTGTATAAATTAATTGATCATTTAACCTATGGGAATCAATCTAATGATCAAGCGTTGAATATATTATCAACAATTGTATTCTTACGTTTTATTAATCCATCTGTTGTATCACCATATGAAAGTGGTTTATTGGATTTTGAACCACCAAATCGTGTAAAACGTGGACTAATTCTAATTGGTAAAATGATGCAGAATATTGCAAATCAATTATTATTTACTAAAGAATCATATATGCGTATATTTGATTCATTTCTACAAAAACATTTTGAATCATGTATACAATTCTTTAAGGTATGTATTTGCTTTTTTTTTTCTTTGATATGTATATATTGTCCACTGTATTTTAACTATTAACCTTGAAATTATTTTTCTCAGACATTTTTTTTGTTATTCAACTTGTAATCTTTTTTTCTCTTGTGAAAATTTTCATAATTGTAGACTTTTTAACTTGTTGGAGTGAATTATATCAATTTAATAATCATATCCAATACATAAATTATTAGGTACCCTTTTTGAAGAATAACCAGCCACCTGATCTTTTATACAAGTTGCATTATCCTATCTACTTTCGTTTACTATCTTTCATAGGTATGTAATCAAGTGTGTCCAACCATTTGTAAAAAAGGTAGATAGAGCTGCTTAAAGCCTATATTGATCTTGATGACTAAGAAAGGAATCCAGGACGTGCTTTTCGTCCTATTTAGGACTCATCAGGTGTGTTCACATCCACCCCAGCGAATGATGTCGTCCCCATCAAGGCTCGAACCCAGTACCCTTCGCTTTAAACGCCAAAGTGTTATTCACTAGGCCACTGGGGCACGGTCAGTATAACATCATGAATAACCGGTAGTACTGAGGCATCCGCATAGGAGCCCATTTGCCAACAGAAGTCGAGCAGTTAGGCCCTGTATAGCAATGAGGAATTACAAGTGTCATTAAAAAAACTGCTTTGAAACTTCTTGACACTATGTAGAATGGTATGCATCTTTCTTTAGATACAGTAAACTTGCAAAGATAATAATTTCAAACCTGAAAAGTTAACCACTACTCTAAATCTACGAAATAAAGTGTATATAGTGAGTACTGCCTTACGACCTTTAAAAGATCAGTTTTTAATCTCATTCTTCTTTGTACCTCTTGGAAACTTCCGATTGCCACCATTTCTGCCCGCCGACTGGCGAGAGATCTATCTGTCTACGTTTTGGCTGTGAAACATGCCCATTGAAAGTAGAGGATATGAAGAGACCATTTATTATCATTATTATAATTATAATTATTTGTCCTTTGGGTTCCTAGTGAAACATAGGGACTCAGTAGCACGTCGCCATTTCACTCTCCTCTCTCCTGGCGCCACCACTGCCCACAAGTTTTCCTTTCTTCCTCACACGATCCCCTTCATGTCACACTCAGATGATCAACTGGTTGTTTCCCATATGAGTTCCAGTCTAGGGCCTGGTCTGGCACGTCATGTTCTCGAACGGTCTTCTCAGTCTATTTCCAATACAATGCAGTCCATCTCCACTTTCTTCTTCTACATATTTGTTAGGCGATAGGTACTTGATCGGTTGGTTCGTTGCCAGCCAGAGATTCTCCTTGCTTATTCTTTCTGACCACATGATCTTCATAATCGAGTGAGCGTAGGCGGCAGCTGTTGATGTGTGCACTATGTTGGAAATACTCTCTGTAACGCGCCAAGTCTCTCAACAAGCACACAGAAGCACTGACGTGACTGAATTAGTGTTGAAATTCCGGATCTTGTTCTTTATGCCGAGTTGAGCGCAGTAGACCACACTGATTTCAGATTAATGAAGGAAGGCCTGACTTGATGTCTTTTTGATCCTGGCTAGCTTTGATATCCTCGTGTGTTCCGCTGCCACCTGTAGTTGAAATGATGCTGCCTAGATAGGTGAGAAGGACAAATTCCCTTAGATTTCTCCCGTTGATGGTGACTAGTGTGTGTTGTTGTTGTTGGCCGGGTACTTTCATCACCTCTGTCTTTTCTACGTTCACCTGAAGGAAATCCCATCTTCGCTAACCTGCCTCTTCTGCCAACTTGTTAGTTTTCGCCTATAGATCTTTGAGTTTGTGCGACGTAACATTTAAATTGCCGATGGAATTCAAATCTTGTAGGGTCTTTTCATCGGTCAAACAGCGTATACCCCTCTCCTTGCTCCGCATAGTTTGTTGCGTTATGCAGTCCAGTTAACCACAATCAGGAAGATCATCAGTGGTAGTAGGCGGCAACCTTGTCTTACTCCTATCTTCACTTTAAAGGCATCACTGAGCTGCTTTCCATTGTGAATCACTTAGGAAGTAGTACCATATAGCATATAGCTGTTGAATGATGTTGATAAAGGTTTGTGGCGTTGCGTAGTGTTGAAGTGGCTGTCAAATTACTTTTCGGTCGACACTATCGAAGGCCTTTCGGAAGTCGATGAAGTTGAGGTAGGGAGTTGACTGCCATTCTATGCTCTTTTCTATGATGATGTGCAGTGCAGCGTAGCGTTTGTAACTTGATGTGCATATGGTTTATTTTTTTCTGAAGCCAGCCAGTCTGTTCCGGTCGTAATTTTGAATCCAGAGCACTTTTTAAAATCCCTCTAGAATGATTTTAACTTTCTTTCCTTTTGATTTAAATCTTGCTGTCATGATCCTGTAGGAGAAGATTGGTTCCCTCTGCATGAAAGCTTTTGATGCTGTTGCGGACATCATGATAGCCACTCGAAAACTCAGTGTGCTCGTGGTTGTTGGCTGGTTGACAATATCGGAGTAGATTATTGTCTCTCTAGTAGAGTCCACTTCCATTCCATCTGCTCTCGCAGATTTCTAGCACTTCTATGCCGTATCCTCTCATTTCTTTTGCAATCTGGGCAACCTTGCTAGGCTCAAACATTGTTCGGACATCCCATGTCCCTAGGCATACTTTTGCCTTCATCGAGAGAGAGAGAGAGAGAAGATACATCGGCCAGTTGGCTTTCCGAAGGCTTTCACCAACCGACGTCATTTCGTCTCCCTGATTCCGGGAGAAATAATTTTATTTTTATTCTTTATATTTCACCTGTGCCTCGAAGTTTGTTTAGCGGTTGGATTGGTTTTGTGGGTTAGGGTTGCTAGTCGTATGCCCTGCCTTCCCTCTTTACCCGGGCTTTGAACCGGCTAGTAAACTGGGTGAGGTTATGAAGAGACCATAGGCTTTTGATCATAGATACCCACGTAACATCGCTTGCGTATGGTGAAATCACCATGTTAACAATTTCTAAGTCAGGCGAAGACTACTAAGCAAGGAAGGCTATCAGATTGACGAGTTTGTAAACCTTCATCAACTGAACTGTCTTCGACATGTACTGTGCTTGTCCAGTCATCACCTGCCTTGGCATACAAGCCAAGCGGAAGTTAGATTAGTTCAGAAGAGGGTGGAGAGTAGTCAGACTAAGAAGTGAAATCAGTCGATAAATTCCCAAACTGTTGATATGGCCTTGCTGAGGTCCCCTATACGATAGGAATCAGTGGTTGAGGACTCTTGGCGGCACGATTGAAAATCGGTTGCAATGGTGCAATCTATTCACTACTTGACATTTCCTAAAGCTTTAATATTGAACTACCCTTTATCGTTAAATTATTTGTTGTCTCGCATGACTTTGTCTAATCTGATATCACTCCTTTTTCTATTCACTTGTTCTTTGTATACTACTGTAAAGTATGGCAGCTTGTTCGAATACTAGAACTGGGTTTTGTTTTTATGTTACCTAATTTTGATGTATAATTAGTTCATATTTACAAATTTATTACTCAGCTCATCTTAACATGTTAAGTAGTTAGTGGTTATAAAATTTTAAATACTACTAGATAGGCTAGTAAAGATGGTTCACTTTAATTCCCAATTTTTTCATACCACTGTCATAATCACCTATTGAAACCAGCTCATTACAACTAATGGTTTGATTAAGTCATATATTAAACCAATGGTTAACTAGTAATTTAGTGATTATGATGTCTACAAATGATATACTTCAAGTTCCCCACTACTTAAAGCATTAAGTTTGCGATAAAAATTTCGATGTTTAGTTAATTTCCTACTCAGTATGTGTCTGAAGCTTTAAAGAAACCTATGAATCTAGGGAAGCTGTTTTAAAAAAATCTAACTAAACTACAATAAATTTTGAGGGGGTCGTGGAGATTTGGAAATATTTCAAGTTGTTATTCATCGAAGACTGACATCAGTTGGAGGAACAAAGGAAACCTGGGAGCACTGGACAGCTGTTTCGTCCTAGTATGGGACTCCTCAGCAGTGCGCACCCACGACCCCACCAGCAGGGATCGAACCCGCGACCTTCAGGTTCCGCGACCAGCGCGTTACGATTGAGCCACTGGGTCAGAATCCAATGCTCCATATTTCCAACTTCTGTTAGCTCACGATATAGCGCAAACCGCCACCCAATGTCATCGTTGAGTATTTGTCCTCACGGCCATCAGGCTTTGACTCCACCGGTCACGACTTGTCATTGGAACTTCGGGAATACTTCTCGAAGCTAGTCACCAACGAGCACTAGTTCAATTAAATTTTTATTGATTTTTTTGATTTTTTGATTTTTTATTGATTTATTAGATTTATCACACAGTAAAGGAAAAGTATTGTTTACTGGTTTACGTTTCGGACATAATTTGTTGTCCTCATAGTCATATAAAGATAACTACACAATTTCCCAATTTCCTCACCTCTTTTGTGATATGGGTAATAAGATTTTCCACATATATGTGGAACAGATGCTGAGTCATTCCTGTCATTGCATATATTAGGTGTAGCCAATGCAGTCCAATTCACCTATGAATTAGAAAATATTGAAGGGTAACTAGCTATGTTGGACTGTAGAATAAAACGGAAACAAGGTAGAAGTTTAGACACTAGTGTCTACAGAAAACCTTCACATTCAATTCGTTACTTAGATTTCAAATCATCTCACCCTATGTCAGTTAAAGTTGGCTTAGTACAGTGTCTAAGTAACAGGGCCAATAATCTTACTAGTGAGTCAGAAGATCTAAGACAAGAAACCAGATACATTAAAGACACCTTACTCATCAACAATTACCCTCCTAAATTAATTGATTAGTTCCTTAGGAATTGTAAGAAAAGTATTAATAACACGGTTACTGATAGTGGTAGTAATAGCAATAATAGTGGTAATAATAGTAGTGGCAATACTGTGAAAAGAGAATTCAAAACCTCTACAGTATTACCATACAAAGAAGGCACCTCAGAAACACTACATAGGATTCTCAATTAGTCTGGTTAGGATTAGAGTGGTATTTAAACTTACAAACTCATTTAAAAATATGCTTTGTAGGTTAAAAGATCCTACTGATCCAGTTAAGCAGAATAATTTAGTTTCCGAAACCCCCTTGAAACGATTGTGAGGTCAAATACATAGGTCAAAGTAGTCGACCAGCCAGGGTCATTTAGGCCCTCCGAACACAAAAGCCTAGCTAAGTCAAAATTGGTAGATCCTAGTAAGGTAAGTAATTTAGAAAAAAGCTGAGCCATAGCTTTGAATGGGATTACACACGACCACACAATAGGATGGTTGAGACAGGGCGAACATTTTTAAAAATAACAAGAGGGTGGAGGGAGAGATTGACAAATCAATCTTTGTTTATCGAATCAACACCTAATACATGCAATGACAGGAATGACTCAGCATCTGTTCTACATATATGTGGAAAATCTTATTACCCATATCACAAAAGAGGTGAGGAAATTGGGACTATATAAAGGATATCTCAGAGTTGTGTAGTTATCTTTATATGACTATGAGGACAATAAATTATGTCCGAAACGTAAACCAGTAAACCATGCTTTTCCTTCACTGTGTGATAAACCTTATAAATCAATATACATGGAACTATATCCTACCACCGTGCACAAGTTTTACTCTTATATTAAAAAACTACAATGTTTTCTTTCAGAAAAATTTTTATTTATTCATAATCTCGCTGAATATTATATTCAGTCCAGTTACATTGTTTTGTCATACTAGAAAATCTACATTTAAAATTGACAATTAATTCATAAAAACTCAACCATTTTGTGCATATCTGTTCAGTAATGAATAATGCACATTTATTGTGTGATGGTTAGTGATACTAGCTGGCTGCGCAAACCTCTGTAAGTCGAGGGGAGTTCGAACCCATGATCAACTGATTAATAGTTATCTTCCTATAAAATTTCAAACACGCCACAACATATGTTTGTCGCTTATTAGGTGCACATTGAAACTTTTGTATGCATTTAAAAATTAAAATTAAACTTTTTACAAAAAAAATTAAGGGGTTGATCATTTTAAATAAAATTTACTTGTCATTTATGCTTTTTCTTTATGGTAGATAGAAATTTGCTACCAAGCTATTTTTAGTGACTGTAAATAGGTATTTATTCCTATTCAGTTGACTAGTTATAGTAATGATGGATAGTGGCTAGCACAGGGATCCAAGATTCTCATTTTTTCCCATCTGGGATTCATCAGCCTAATGTACCTGCCTCCCACTGCCAAGTGATGTTGTTCCCACCGGGATTCAGGATTGAAATATTATTCGTGATACATATGAGAATGTTTAAGAGCATATCAATAGGCTTGAAGCGAAATGAATGTAAATATCTCAAAGCATAAAAGCCATTAGTTTACTGTCTTTAAGACCGTCAGGATTCTCTGAACTTTTATTCCCTCTGTCCTCAAAATGCTATCGATTGAAGTAAGGTTAATTTTTAGAAATATTACATTTAATCAGACTAAAACTTTCCACTGATCCATAAAGTGTGTAATTCTTGATTTGAACCATTTTGGAGATGTAGGTTTTGCGACTGGGGATCACAAAATAACTGAGACCGATGATTAGGTAATAGCGTTCAAAACTAATCACTCTAGTGTAGATTCACTCAGTTGCTTTATGCTCTTTTCCTTTCGCTATATATACTTTTTGATTATCCTGAGTCTCTCGACCTTTATTCGCAAATGGGCTTCTATGTGAATGCCTTGATACTGCCAGATATTCATGATGTTGTATTCATCTTGGTAACTAGTAGGATGAACGTTTCGTCCTATTTGGAACGTGTCACCCGGATGTACCTGTACCCTAGTGAGCGGTGTCGTTACCTATCGCTACAAACGCCTCAGTGGCCTAGTGAATAGTGCTTTGGTGTTTGAAGGGATGGTTACTGGGTTTGGATTTCATTGGGCACAACACGACTCACTGGAGTGCAGGTATATCCAGATGAGAAGTCTCAAATAAGACGAAAGGCGCATTCTAGATTCCCCTGCAAGTTACCAAGAGGAATAAAACATTTTGATTATGCCATCTCCATTCTTTCGTACTTTGTCTTTCCCCCTAGTATCTTGATAATCTAATATGAAATATTGTGATTTGTACCGTTGTGCAGTAGCTTCACATCCTATTTTGATACCAACTAACTGAAATGCGCAACCAAGCATACTTATCTAGACTTTTAGTTTGTAAATAGGCAATGAACATTTAAAGGCGTAATAAGGACTCACTTATTGTGGAAGATCATTGTTGTTCACAAGTTGGTCAGCGCTCTGAAGATATATATTATACTCTTACTTAAATGTCAACGTTTCTTTACTTAACTTCTACATCTTCCAGCTGCCAGAAGCGGTTTGGTATTGCTTTTCAATGTTTAATGTTTGGTTGTAGAAATAACAGTGCATAATACTGACGAATTGGACTGCATGAAGAAACTCTGAGGAGGCTATACACCGCTGCATAAGTGTTAAGTTCTCTGAAACATAATTCTAGTATCGTTTTAAAATCTCGTATGAATTCGGAGTGGAAACGTGAGTGAGATGTGAGATATGACAATTAAATGAATGTTACTTTTTTTAACTAGTACACTAGTTTCCTTGATAATGGCTACCATCTCAGCAACAAACAATACATTTCGATAGTCAGGGCAAGTTTTATAAAATTGTATGACACTCACATTTTGCCATTGAAATTCATCCTACTTAAATTTAATTAAGTAGTATGAATTTTCTCAAGAAATGTAATAGGACATAATTTGTCTGCAAACTGCAGAACAGTTGAAAAACACTCTTCTTTTTACCCATTTAGAAAAAACTTGTTCCCCATGTACTTTCTATGGAATCAAGTCTTAGAATTATCACTTGAGCACTCAGAGAAGAGGTTAACTAAACGAAGTATTTCTTTTCAACTATGCTACTACGTAAAAAATTTCTAAGCTGATAGTAAACTAATTTCGATTTTTTCGATGTAAGTGGAATCTAATGGATAGTCAGGCAACCAGAGTAGATTCCTTTAAGTATTCCTTGTTATTCAGTACGCCATTTAAGTATGATATTTCCCCTCGAGAGTGGTCGTCACTTCTTGCAATAGGAATTGTCTTTTAAAAATGTCATTAAGTCCTTTATTGTAAGTTGATATCAGCTGATTAACTATTGAACATCGAAGAATGCTATCTACCCTATATTTCGTTTTATTATGATACTGTTCAAAGTATTCATTCATCTTCGTGACTGTCATCATAAAAGATATTACTTAGAGGATAAGTTACACCATACCAAGCCAAAGTTTATAAGTCAGCTTGCCCATGATGAAGCCCATAGATTCTTAGCCTTATGATAAGTACAAATTTAGATATCTACTGCTGTTTATCATGAAATATGTTAACTGTCCCATACTCTATTATTTTTAGAGGTTTCCAGAACAATACTTATATATAATACAAACTGTTTTATAAAGTAATGACAATATGCATGCCTGATTCACTTAAAATCTACAAAACTTTAAACTTATGGTTCTCATACTGTCGAACTAATTAATTAATTAATACAAAACATAGTCAAATGAATTAATCTTCAATGTTAATTTTTTAATTTACAAAGAAAGGAATCAATAAAACTTAGACAGAATTTTCTTAATGAATATAATAATATGCTATGGATAAGAAGGTAAATTTTATTATATAATCACTTTATATCATTTATTATTTTCAGACAATTGTTGAGGAGTCTGCAAAACCTGACAAATCATTAGATCCATCTACATTTAATGGTTTACTAGACCCATTAATACATAATAATAGTCATTTAGTTGTCTCATCTTCTTGGTTATCTGGTGCATATCCAAATTCTTCGACTGCAAATCCTTTAGAGGCTATCGTGCCTCTTACAAATGATAATGTTTCATCAATGTCAGGTTGTACAAATACAGGCGGTGGTGGTGGAGGCGGGAGTTGTATGATGTCCTTCATTTCTGATGACCTCATGCATGCTTTACATCGATTATTGTTTACTAATCAAAGTAAAATTGGCGACTATCTAGCCAATAATCGGTAAATATTTTTTTTTCGTTTTTTGATACTTATTTCAATTAAAACAATATCTATTAACATTTAACGTAAAAAAGTTATTTAGTTCACTCATTATATTGCTGTTTGTTTAGCGGATATCAGTGAAACTCAGGACTCTTGTTTCGTCTCATTTGTGACTCATCAGCTGGATGTAACTGCTCCTTCCCAGTGAGTAATGTTTTTCCCAGGCAGACAACAACAGAATGAGTAATCGTGCAGTCAACAGTCATCCGCTTAGGAGCCTATCTACCAACAGAAGTTGAGCTATTCGGCCCAGTATATCAAAGATGGGGATTACAAGTATCAAACAAAACCTGATACCTGTTGCACAAGAGATAAGTGACTCTCGTGACCCAGTGGTTTGGTGGGTAACATTGTAGCGTTTACAGCGGTGGGCAATGGGTTCCAGTCTCAGTTGGAACACCATCACACAGTGGGATGCAGGTATATCTAGCTGACGAGCCCTAAATAGGACCAAGCACGCTGAATTGTTTTCAGAAGCTACGCATGAATATTGATAGTTACGACGAGGAAATATGTCAATGGCTAAATAGTTAACACAAGGTCACAAAAGATTGTTACTAAGACTACAAGGTAATATCCGAATGGCCAACACAAGGTCGATTTTTGAATGTCCTAAAAACTATGTGTAGAATTACGCGTAACAGTGTAGAAAACAAAAGAACATGTAAGAAGAGTGGTACTGTAATCTTATATTCGATTAGCCTATTTGATATGGCAAACAGTGATATAATATTATTTACCAGATGTCGTTTCAAAGGGAATTTATTGTTCCTAATCATATCAGATCATATCACCTTGATATGAATATGAGGACTAAATTCTGCGTAAAACATCATACAGTAAATAGTAACAAATCACTGTGACCTACATCATATAGACTAACCCAATATGGAATTACATCCTACCACAGTGCGGAAATTCTGTACTCACATTAATGGGATATTAATGCTAAAATTCACAACTACAGATTAAGGAAAGGGAGTTACATGTAATAATATTGATAAACAAAAGGAAAAATGTCGTAGAAACACCATGATCAGACTATGAATGTGGAGGTCAGGTCTGAAGTTATGAATTGCCAAGATGCATTAGCCACTGATGAGCCTATTTTTTCTCTTGTAACTTCTAAAAATAACTAGTCGGTGAGAAAAGTTTCTTCCTTGAATTGTACCTATTTAAAATATAGGTTTCGGGGATCACCAGTTGTTAATCGATCTACGCGTAGAAGTGAATAAATGGTCGTCACTCGACTTTGTTAGTTAAAGCTTTATCACGATGAAATATGTCTGTTTCGTGAGTTGGAAGCAGAAGGAAAAATGCTTTCAAAATACGATCTAATATATGATAGGGTTGAAATCCTTGCGTGTGTGTGTGTGTGCCTACTATCACCGATCATGTTCCTGATTGTGGTGGACTGGATCATGCAGCAAACCATGAGGAGCGAGAAGATGGTCTATGAAAAGACCACAGAAGATTTGCTTTTCGCCAACCATGATGATTTATGTCCAATGTCTTGTCTCACAAACTCAAAAATCTATAGGCGAAAACTAACAAGTTGACAGAAGAGGCAGAGCAGAGAAAACGGGACTTCAAGTGAATGTAAAGAAGACAGATGATGAAGATACCCAGCCAACAACACCATCAACAACAAGAGGCACCAATCACCATTAACAGGAGATACCTGAAGGAAGTTGTCTGTTTCACCTGCCCACATTGGCAGCATTGTTTCAACTACAGGCAGCACAGGCACAGACGAGGATGTCAAAACCAGCATCGGGAAAGCAAGACGGACTTTCATTAATCTGAAATCAGTGTGCAGATCTACTGCACTGCACTGCACGCAGCATAAAGTGTGAACAAAGATCCGGATTCTCAACACCAATTCAGTCAAGTGAGTCAGTGCTTCCATGTGATGGTTCAGAACTTGGCGAGTCATGAAAAGCACTTCCAACAAACTACAGACATTCATCACATCAACAGCCGCCGTCTACGCTCACTCCATACTGAAAATCAGATGGATGGCCAGAAAGAATAAGCAAGGTGGAACTCACTCTGGCTGGCAACGAACCAATGAAGCAAGAACCTATCACCTAACAAATATGCGGAAGAGGAAAGTGGAGATGGAATGGATTTGGTATACACTGAGAAGGCCGATTGGGAACATCACGTGCCAGATCAGGCCGTTGAGTGGAATGCAAAAGGGAAACAACGAGTTGGGCATCCCAGCTGTGGGTGATATGGAGGAGATGGTGTGGGTAGGAATGAATGTTAGTGGGTAGTGCTGGAGCGAGGTTGAAAAGGCTGCAGAGAAGAGAGTGGAATGGAGACATGCTAGTGAAACCCTATGTTCCACTAGGAACCCAAGGGAAAAATTTTTTTATCCTTATTCACCTTTACCTTAGTCTAAGTATGTGCTACAGAGACTGACTCATCCTCAGGCATTTAAATGCTTCTATTTAGTTAAACTATCTTAGGAGGCTAACAAGGAATCGCTCAGCCTTGTTCCATCTAAGTGAAGTTGATCTTTACTCGAACTAGAAGATCCAGTTGAGTACAAAATGTTAAGAAGTATGACAGTTGGTGTGGTAAACTTTATGATTGAGTTTAAATCGAACTAGACTGAAAAAAAGGAATGAAACTCAGAAACCATGTGCAGGTTTGTAAATTAGGCAACGAATCATACCCATAATGTAAAAGTTGATGATACTACCTATCTGTATTAAACGCGATAAATGGAGCAAGACTTGAAATTATAACTTACTGGTTGAAGATTTATCATCTAGACTACTGAACTACAACAATAACAAATGAAATTTAGACTTGGTTAGCAATTTATTCTATGAGTCTAGTTGAACAATGTTTGGTTAATCGTAGATCCTTTAGACAACCAGGTTTTCAATACATCTTCAGTAATACAGCCTTCAGAATGAAACAAGAAAAATTAAAATATCCTTCTTTTGCTTCACAGTGATTGGAAAGCTGTTGGTCGACAACCATTTGACAAAATGGTAACATTATTAGCCCATCTTGGTCCACCTGGCCATAAATCTGTTGATTGTATGTAAGTTTTTCAAGTATATGTTTTCAGTGCATTAATTGATGATATTTTATCGATAAGGACGTCTACAAATTGAGTATTACACTTCATGTTACTTCATTATATCAGACGTATATTAATTAGATAATTACATAATTTTCCTCTTTGAAACTTGATAAAATTAGTGTCAGATCAAAGAGTTGGGAGAACCTGAGGTACATTTTTCGTCAGTAACCGCAATGCAAATTTCAAAGAAAACCTGAGAGCATTGGACAGTGGTTTCGTCCTAATATTGGACTCTTCAGCCATCCAGTGATACCACGTTTTATATGGTCCTTTAACTGATATCAGCCCATCATGTGTACCAACTCGAAATCAATAAATGAATCTCTACAAACTTCCAAATTGAAATTTCAGAGACGTGATATGTTATGACTACAGACTGGCAAAAGTTCTGATTATACTACTTCTTAATATGCTCATATAACTAACTAAGGCACTTGATTAATTCCTAATAAACACAATTCCCACAGGATTCGATCACTAGACATTTCTTGAAATGATAGAGAATATTTGTAGCTCAGGTGGATGGTCTTGGTTGTATTGTGTTCTCTGAGCTGGGTTGTTTAATCGTGAAGCTTTCATCGCCTTGCTAGACGACATCATCAGCACTAACTTCAGTATGAAGTGAAATGTCAATATCTCTCCGTGAGTGATGTAGTAGCTTACCTTGATGAGGCGGTTTATGATTGGTTGTTTCCTTTGATTGTTGTGTCATTGACTGTATAGATTTTCCTGTTGGCTGTCAATCTGTTTCACCTCTGACCTTTCTGTCGTCTGTCATCTTTCTCATCGGTTGGTAGATTGGGTCTATGTCTATACATCTACTGATTGCTGACTGACCTGAATGCCAAGCTTCTAGGAATTCTCTGATATTTTTTGTGTTTTCTCTCTCCGTCCAAGATTTCTATACTGTCAAAATTCAATTCATGTCCATAATTATCCATGTGCATTGAAACGAATGACGAAATGTCGTGGCGTTTAATAGCCAATTGGTGGTCATGTAGATGAAGGCAAAGAGAGCGACCACTTTGTCCAATGTAGTACTGACCACAGTTATTGCAGTTGATTTTGTAAATGACATTCGGTTTGTCTTCTTTGCTTGTTCCATCTTTTGGTCTGCATAATAGTGTTTGGAGGGAATTTGTTGGTTTATGAGCCACACCAATTCCAATTGGTCTCAGTAATCTTGTTGTGATTTCTGATATATTCCTTATGTATGGTAGGATGATGCGTTTGTTGATTTCTGTTGATGACTTTGTAGTTGGTGATGCACAGGATAGGCATCCACTGATAAAGTTTCGTGGGTAGCTGTTCTTCTTTAGGGTGGATATTAAGTAATTTTCTTCGTTTCTCCGTGAAGTTGTTGTGCTTCACGATTAAACAACCCAGCTCATAGAACACAATGCAACCAAGACTAGACGTTTCTCTTCCATTCTATGTACAAGAACGATGCTCACTACCGTTGAATATCTTCAATCTCAACCAGGCTTAGATACACCCAAGTTATATATTCAAAAGTGACTATAATTCACAAAAGTGAAATGATCCACTTTATATACAGAAATTGAGATATTGTACAGTATTTGATTCCACTTAAAATGCAGGTTATTTCAAAACGATAAGTTGTAAAAAAGTGAGTAAGAGATCAAACAAATATTCCCAAAATTAATTACACATTTATACTTCGGTATAGTTCCTAGAACCTCGCTTGGTTATCTAGTCCACTAGTTACTAGCCGGTCCTAAGCCTGGATAAACAGGGAAAGTTGGGCATACGGCTAGCAACCCTACCCCACAAAACCAATCCAATCGCTAAACAAACTTCAAAGCGCATGTGAAAAATAAAAAACAAAAATAAACTTATTCCTTGCTGGAGTCGGAGAGACGAAATGACACCGGTTGGTGAAAGCCTTCAGGAAGCCAGTCGGCTGATGTATCTTCTCCCCCTCGATGAAAGTTAAAGCAAGAATGGGGACATGAAATGTCCGAACAATGTTTGAGTCTAGCAAGGCTGCCCAGATTGCAAAAGAAATGAGAGGATATGGCACAGAAGTGCTAGGAATCTGCGAGAGCAGATGGAATGGAAGTGGACTCTACTAGAGACACAATAATCTACTCCGATATTGTCACCCAGCCAACAACCACGAGCACACTGAGTTTTCGAGTGGCTACCATGATGTCCACAACTGCATCGAAGGATCTCATGCAGAGGGAGACAATCTTCTCCTACAGGATCATGACAGCAAGATTCAAATCAAAAGGAAGGAAGTCACAATCATACAATGCTACGCACCTACAAATAATGCAGATCAAGAGAGTAAAGAGAAATTCTACAGACAACCGCAATCAGTACTAAACAAGACCCCATCCCAGTTGATGACATCAAAATTCTGATGTGCGACATGAATGCCAAACTGGGAGTGGACAACACAGGAAGAGAACTCATCATGGGTCGAGAAGCGCTCCGTGAAATGAAAGCGAATGGAGAACTGTTTGCAGACTTCTGCGCATCCAATGATTTGAGGTAGTGTTTACAAACGCAAGGACATTCACAAAGCGACATAGACTTCACCAAGTGGACACACTAAAACTCAGATCGACTTCATCTCAATCTGAAGGAAGCGGAGACACAGCCTACTGGACAAAAGATCAAGAAGGGGAGCAGATGAAGATAGGTTTACACCTCTCACTATCTAGTACTAAGAATGTACCTTGAAAATCAAGTTGTAAGCCTTCAAAGAAGTTAGTGATAGGTCACAGTTCAAGTTGAACACCCAGAACACAAACTGAAGGACGAAACTACGAAGGACATCTTCAAGTCAGTCAGTAATCAGGACAAAATGGGAGATATTTAGCAGCATCCCTGAAGAAACCTGCGTGGAAGAAGACAGGATCTTTTTGAAAGGGACATGGAAAGAAAGCTGCATATCCGTGTTAGGAAGGAAGAAGAAACAAGACAAGACAAGGAATGGATCTCGACGGCTGTCCACATGGAAGCTGATAGAGCGGGAAGGGGAAGGTGTTGAAGCAGAAGATGAACCAGTGCATCGCGTGGATGAAAACGAAAAGAGGAACTGAACACAACCTTTAAACCACCACACTGGACAAAGAAGTGAAGAAGAGTGCGTGGAAAGACAAAAGACACTTCTACAACACATTGGCAAGTGAAGCAGAACAGGCTGCAGGTAAGAGAGACCTGATAAAACTGTACCAAATAACAAGGTTACTATCCGGGATGGAAAAGGTCAACGCAGATGAAACCAGTGAAAGATAATGAAGGAAATTTGTTACCGAAGGGAGAGGAGAAACAAAGGAAGCGATGGGCTGACCACCTCTAAAAACTCTTGAATCGACCACCACCACCACCACCACCTGCAACTCGTTCAGAAATATCACCAGCAGCCCAGTCACAGAACTATCAGCGAACTCAAACGCTCCGACAAAAGCAGAAGTCCTGAACGTCATAAAGACGCCGAAATTAGGGAAAGCAGCAGGACCAGGTGGAATTCATACAGAAGCACTGGAAACAGACGCAGAGACAACAGCAGACGTGCTCACACCACTACTGCAGAAGCTTTGTAAGGAAGGAAAGGTACTTGCCCACTGACTGGAAGAAAGGCTACCTTGTCAAACCCCCAAAGAAGGGGGACCCGCGTCTTTGCAAGAACTGGTATGGAATCATGGTACTGTTCACCCCAAACAAAATATTAAGCCGCATGATACTAGAGGGATTAAAAGGTCTTCTGGATTCAAAATTACGACCGGAACAGGCTGGTTGGCTTCAGGAAGAACAAATCATGCGCGCATCAAATTACAACGCTACGCATCATCATTGAAGAGTATAGAATAGCAGTCAACTCCCTACCTCGACTTTATCGATTTTGGAAAGGCATTTGACAGCGTTGACCGAGAAGTAATTTTGCAGCTGCTTCAGAATTACAGTTTTAGTGCCACGAACCTTTATCAACCTCATTCAGCAGGTATATGATATATGATGCTGCATGCCAAGTGGTTAACAATGGAAAGCAGCTCAGTGATCCCTTCGAAGTGAGGATAGGAGTAAGATTAGGTTGCTGCCTACTACCACCGATGATCTTCCTGATTGTGGTTAACTGGACCGGATCACGCAACAAACTGTGAGGAGCAAGGAGAGGGGTATACGCTGTTTGACCGATGAAAAGACCCCACAAGATTTGCATTTCGCTGATTATGATTTATGTCTAATGTCACACGAGCTCGAGGCTCTGCAGGCCAAAACTAACAAGTTGACACAAGAGGGAGGGCAGTGAAGACAGCACTTCCTTCAGGTGGACGTAGAAAAGACAGAGATGATGGAGATACCCAACCAACAACAACAGCAACAAGCACCAATCATCAATCACCAATAACATGAGGAATCTAAAAGAAGTAGTCTCTTTCACCTACCTGACCAGGTAGTGGCACGGACGAAGATGTCAAAACCAGGATCGGAAAGACAGCAAGACAGGCCTTCTTGCATTAATCTGAAATCAGTGTGAAGATCCACTGCACTGCACTACACTCAGCATAAAGCGTGAACAAGATCCGGATTTTCAACACCAATTCAGTCAATTCAGTGCTTCTGTGTGATGATTGAGAGACTTGGCGTGTCATAAAAAGCATTTCCAACAAACTGTAGACACACATCGACAGCTGTCGCCTATACTCACTCTATACTGAAGATGAAGATTAGATGGTCAAAATAGTAAGAATAAGCAACAAGGAACTCACTCCTCCTGGCAGCGACCAATAACCAACCAAGAACCTATCACCCAACAAATATGCAGGAGAAAGTAGAGATGGATTGGGTTGGAGATGCAGGGAGAAGATTTGCGAACGTGCAAGCGCTATTCCAGGCCGTCGAGTGGAAGCCAAATGGTGGAGCCAGGTTCAAAAGACTGGAGAGAAGAGAGTGAAATGGAAAGGTGCTACTCTAGTCTTATG